GTACACATATAAAGCTAATCAATAAAATGCTTTCAATGCCGAATTATGTATTGTATTTTATTTGTAATATTGTGTAATTGTGTGACATTGTATTACCATAAAGTTATATTTTCTTTTAAAATTCGTTCAATTAATATATGTAAAAAACACATTTTCAAGATGTTGTGTTATGTTTAGAACTCTCTTTAAATCTAGATATGTTTCACGATCGAATATTGTGTAATTGAACCTCTGTATTAATAAAGTTTTGTACTTCTTTCTTTTTAAATACTAATGCTATGGTCAGACAATTGCACGTCTATCGACAAATATGCAGCAATATTCGTCATTTTTTATACAAAATCCATACTAAATCCATTTAAAAATGTGTTCGATAAGTCCATGGTAAGTGTTTAGACTGTAGTTTGATTGTGTTAACGCGAACCGTTTTTTTGTTTGTTTTTGTGTCTTCTGAATTATGTTACTGTGTAATTGACTGCTGTTTTATAGTTTATTTAAAATGTTTTTATTTTTATATATCAATTAAATTTATTTTAAGATTTGGAATTTTTTTGTGTCAGGCTTGTTACTTGAAATTGTCATTTCTGTTCTGCTCTTCTTCTGTTCTTCTGGTGTTCATCTTCTTTTGTGTAATTCTACGTGTTTGTGTCGTAACAACTTTGTGTAACATGGAGCTTAACTCGATGTTCGATTGTGTGATTTTGACCTATCTGTTTGTGTCTTTCGACTTCACCCTTCCAAGCTCAGTTTTTCTGTTATTGTTCATTCTCGATGAGTGCTCAATATGTGCCTAAGTGCTGTTGTGTCTGAGTGTATTGGTATTGTTTCGTGTGTGGTAGTGTTTGCTTAACAAAAATTGCCACTTACCACTTGCTCTATAACAAAATATCTTTTATCCAGCAAAAAACCTTTACAAGTGAAGTAGGTAGTAGTTTTTAGGTTAAGTTTTGAGTGGTTTGCTATTTTGTGAGTTAGTTGGTTTGTTGTGAGTACATACATTATTTTTAATTATTTTTTTTTGTAATTTTTTTTTAGATAAAAATTAATTTATATTTTTTCTGCACTTAATTTACACTATTTGTTATTTTAAAATATATCCTTTAAAATATGTTTGGTTTTACATTAATTTTTTTTTTTTTAATGAATTTGTTTAGCATTGCGAGAGTTTAGTACATACGAAAGACTTCGTAGGGCGCAGGTAGAGCTCTATATTCAGTAAAAAATTTTTTCAAAAAATATAAAACAAAAAAATGAAAATTTTGCATAAATTATATTTTTAAAAAATTTATTAAAAATGGGAATATTTGTAAAATTTAGTAAAAGGCATAAAAAGGGTACAAAAATTTAAAAAAATTATGTACGAGTATCTAAAGAAAAAACTTTTATGTATATACGAGTATATATATTAATTTATATATATTTATATTAATTAATTAAGAAAGTACGTATATTCGTAAATATTGTTAATGAACAATTAAGTAACAAAACATGCTTCAAAAAGTTATTATTTTTAATGTATAATTTTTTCAAAATTTTGTAACTTTTTATTTAAGATACATATATGTTGTATACAGAATACATATATAAGGAATTTTATTACAGTTACATACATAAAACATACACAAAACGAATTTATGCATAGTTGGGTTGGAGGGGGAACATAAGAGAGTTATTAACAAACCAAAATTATGAATACATGATGGCACATATATAACATTTTGTACAGAAAGTTTATTTTGGGAAACAGAAACGGATGAAGCACTGATGAATGTGATGAATGTGATGATTTTGGCGATTTTGATGATGGTGATGAACATGGCGTTGATACATCATACTCGTACGATGGTAATACGAACAGATTTGCACAAAGAATGGTAGCTATGTTGATTATGAGAAGGCAAAAAGGCACCAGTTGCAGAGCTTAGATATTTGAGAAGTTACCCTCATCTCATAGGTATATGGTTATATGGTATTTAACATAATTAAGTTCTTTGGAAAAGGTCTCTATGTATATTTTTTTACACTATCATCTGTCATTCTTTACTAAATAAATATTATAAATATATTGTGTATCTTATGTCATGTTTGGACTATTGTACTTAACTGACAAATATACAGCAATATGTGCCATTTCTTATACAAAATCCATACAAAATACAAATAGAAATATGCTAAGAACTTCGATAAGAAATATGAACTAACTATTGGATGTAATCCGTCAATAATTCTGTTGTTCATGAATTTCTTTTACCTTTACAAACACTTATATAGCAATATGTTATAGACAGCAATTATATAATGCAATATTTTGTTCGTTGTTATGTAATATCATATAATACAAATACTCATATTATATATGTTTTCATTCGTAAATATCACTCACAGTTCTATTGTTGGTGTAGTTATATTTGCAGTTCTAGAGTGGAGACAATGTAAACAGTAAATGATCCTCTTGTATACTTTAAGAATGAAAGGACTCGAATCCCAGTGTACGTCTGTCTTTCATATTTGTGCGATTATTTGGATCAATTGGAAGAAACTCTATCTATTTCGAAAGTATCTGCAATATTATTAAGTATCTGACCATATTATTAAAAAATAACTGCCGTAATAAAGATAACATTTGTAAATATATCCGTATACTATATATATTAACTGATTTTATCGACTAACAAATTTGTAAAAATAATTAATAAATACTTGGTAAGTTTATAGTAAATATTTTTATGTCACAAATTTTTCAATGTTAAAGGTCTTAAAACTTGGTCAACATTTTTCATATATATTAATATGTTATATATATAGCGGCATAACTATTGATTTCTATAAAATTTTGTCGAGTGCCATCCATATATGTATAGTCAAGCGTTGGTCCACGTATTGGCTTTGGCTAGAAAACATTTGGCAAACCTTTCCTTACTTATTTTCATTATTTAATCTTTCATTATTCATTCCAGTTCTTTCCAAAATACTTTGTTTATTCACAAACAAAGTATTTGATTTATTTTTCATTTCCAATTTTCATTTCTTCTATTGTATAAAATAGGATATTTGCTTTGAAATACACATAAATTACAGATGGTAACCTTTTGATCCAAATAACAAAAAAAAAACCTTAAATAAGAAGAGACCCTTTTTGAATATCAACCCAAATATAGGGTGTCGAAGAACTTATTTAGTGTGAAAGACTTGAAGTTTTAGTCATAGTCATAAAATAAATAATCTTTATAAAAAAGTTATATATAAATAGCATTGATTTACGGAAAGTGCAGTACTCGTAATAAAATAATTATCAAATTAAAGACCATTTTACACACCAAAAGTTATTATCTGTTCCTAAAATAAATTATATATATTATAATAAAGTTTTGAGAATGATTCTCTCTCGATAGCCTATATCACTACTATTCCATATGATTTTAATATTTATTTACATAGGAAATCTCTTCCTTAATATGTGTTTTGATAATAAATATTATATATAAAAAATATATTATCAATATTAACTGTTGTGATATGCAAAAGACTGACTTACAGTTTGGCTAAGAATAAAAAAAATATTTATCCTAATGTATATATTTTATCATTATCATTTTGTAGGTTACGATATGTGATAAAAATATGGACCCTCATTCTATTTATTTTTGCGTATCGTGATCCCTATATGTTGGGTATACTTCTAATCATCAATCATCGTCTGTGTTATAACAACTAAGAGTGAGTAGGCAGACTGAGCTGTTTGGCGAAATGTTATATCACCACTGTATTCTTGAGATTTTTAAGACGACTGTTACTCCTATGGTAAACTGGATTGTAGAATTGTGTCTATAAAAGTCAAGTCTGCCATTCTTCTTTTTCTAATTCATTTTCATTTAAACGTTATGTCCAGTGGATGTATCGTCGCCTGGATACTTCTAAAATACTGCTAAAAATACATTAAGCACAATTCTGGCCACTGGTCACATCGCTGGGGAGAAACATGAATATTTTATATATTCATGGTCTGTATAGAATTCCATGGTTGTATGCATCAAAACAAGATTTTTATTTTTTTGGTTGCTGAGTTTGTGGTGTCTAAGATAGTAAAATGTGAAAATCTTTTGCGTTAACGCTTTGTGTATCTAGCATTTCTAGTCAAAAACTACTTGCGTTTAACAAACTGAACGTTGATCACATAAATTTATATTATTTTCATATATATGAGAAACATTGAGATTGCAAGTAGGAATATCTCCGAAGTTATTTCGCTAGAGATGACAAGAGCCACTTATTTTATTAACTACATAATTTTTTTTTGCGGAAATTCCTTCACTAAATTGACTAAACTATCTTAATTAGATAAATAATATACTAGCAGTACGAGTGTGAGATATTTTATCTTCAATGGTATTGGCATATTATATTATTGGCATATTTCATTATATAAAGAAGTTACTGAGTATTATAGCTCTCCTTCCCCAGCCTCTCCACAATTGCTAATGCTAAATAACTGTCGTAATAATATTAATGTATCTGCGGTTATTCCAATATCACTACGTTTATTGGAATACATAAATGACTAATAATCACAATTTTTAAAATTTTTGTTAAATTCTATAAGATTTGTAATAAAAGTTATTGAAATTAAATGCTATTAACTAATTAATTAATTTCATAGTGACACATAGTGAGACTTCCGAGAATCACAGCATCTTCAGGTAAAATATTTTAAGCTTGGTACTTGTGCCTATTTGCTTTCCATTAATCTTAAATAAAAAATAAAAACATGAATACAGAAAACATTTAATATAGGTTATATTTATTGAGAGAAAGACAGAAAAATGATATGAAAGAGAAAGAACATAAAGACACTGATATAACTTGATTAGAGGAATTTATAAGTCATGATTAAAAAATAAGTTAAATAACTTAAAAAAAATATAATATTTTGAATAAATTTCAATAAAATCCTTATATATAATTAATGTTATTTTTTTTTCAATTAGTAGAAGTGAACTTACCCAGAACGTCTGTCTCGTGGCGTTGAGGGTGGTGTGCAGGGGGAGCTCGTTTCACTTAATGAATTGCCTAATGACGCGCACTGACGTTTCTTCACCGCATGCAATAAATTCAATGTGGATCTGCTGAGGCTCGGTTTGATTGTCTGGAAAGTTTTTAAAATATTTTTTTTATTATCTTTCCACAATATAAACAAAACAATATCAGAGAAGAGAAATTATTCTCATCAATGTACTGAATATGGTAAATTTTTCAAGGAACCATATTGGCCAAAAAGGAATCTATTAATAGACGTGGTAGATGCATGCGACAGCTTAACCGAAACGTAAATAAATTGTAGGAATTAAAAATATAAGCAGATTGGGACACTATTAAAAATCTTCAGACTAACTGATTAACTAACTGGTTATGAAAGTCTAAGAAATATGGGTAAATAATTAGTTAGGTGCATCTGAATAAGAAGTATCTATCAGTTGAAAGCAGATGCCCTCAGAGAGAGTTAGATACCACATAGAGATACTTTCAATATCAGTGGAAATCTAATAAGTGTGAATTGACGTATAACATTATTATATTTCTAGAAGAACAGTCAGAAGATGAATATTAGTCCAACAAATTGACGAATATTGATTTGGACATAGAAATAGTCCCTACATTATCGATTTTAAAAAGATTTCAAAAAGAGTTAATATATATAAGTAATATATGCATCTACTTTTATGTATTGATCTTTAAAAAACCATATAAGTATTGCTTGATATCGCAAATATATACACGATTCTTCTCGGAGATTGATGTACATGTCAGTATATTTAGATTTTAAATTAATATAGTAAAGACTAAATAGGTGAAAACTTTAAAAGCCGAGTTATTTTGATATTTTAAAAACATAATAGACGAATACGCAGCTGGTAAAATTCATAGTGTGAAGTATCTATGCACCGGATTGAAGAAGCGGTATGCAGCTCACAACAATGGAATACATTATGTTAATATAAACAGGTTGAAACTTAAAAATTAAGAAACTATACTATATAAAATAATTGTGAGATCCACACTAACCTGTCGAGAAATACCAAAAAGTACTTACCGTATATTATACAATTAAAAATTTCTGAATACTTGAAATAAAAAATTGCTTTACTATTCAGGAAAGCACAATTAGACTGTCGGACTGACTACAAAACCGCCAGCTATATTATTAGAATAGATGTTAATTGGACACACAAAGAAATATTTATCACTCCTTAATCAGCTGGCCTACCCTAAGCAACTAAAGTGGATGTTAATCAGCTTTGTAAATACATATTATCCACTCCTTAAGAAATCGAACCTGAATAAGTGTTATTTGGCCACAAAAAGTAGAAAGCAATTACAACTCCTTAACCAACCAACCTAAGCTCTGTCATCTAAATAGATTATGGTAAAAAATAAATATTATATTCACAGTATGTTGAAGGTACGAACCTGAACACTGTTCAAATAGATGTTAATTGTGACAATAAAAAGATATAATAACCAACCCTTAGCTAATCGAGCCTAGCTATTTCGAAATTGACATTGATTTGTTCTGGTAAAAAAATAATAGCCCGAATAGATGTTAATTAGTATTAAAAAAATATAATAGCTATCTCTCAGCCAACCGAATCTGAGTTATGTCTAAATGGATGTTTATTGCCTATGGCAAAATGTAATAAACATTACTTAATCAACCGAACCTAAACTTTGTAACCCGAAGATATAACTCCTTTATAAACTGAGACTAAATTATGTAATCTCAATGGAAATTATTCGCTCCATAAATTAGCTTGCTAGATTGATGAAGTCATCTTAAATGGACTTTTTAACTTAACAACTTGAGGAAACAAAATTAATCCTTCTGAACTTAATGATCGATTGAAGCAATCACCTGAGTCATAGTATGTTTCTCACTTAATAATAATAAAAATATGAATTTAAAAACACCACAAGATGGCACTCTATTCACATACCAGGACAAAGCGAATAAACTTAAGCTAATCCAGAATTTATTTTAATATTAAATGTCGATATAATAAATAAATATAAAATTAATTATTATATAGATAATTAATTATTTATTTTAATTTTGATACTTACACTAAAGCAGGGTCCTCTAAGTTCGCGTAAGTCGATGCTTCTGAAAAGATCGCATAAGACAAGCTCCTCAACGGAGGGGCACATACCGCTCGGCGGTTCAAAAATAAGACCTAATATATCTAAAATCTGCAAGAAAAATATAAACGTATTTATTAAATAATCGTCTTTATTAAATAATAATGAATTAACATAGTAAATAAATTAAGACTTGAGGGTTTATTACGTATTAATGTATAAAATATTAATAAAAATTAATTAGTATAATTTACACTCCCTATTTTTTTGGTAACACTTTTTGTTTTTTTGCGTGTTCAGTATATGAACAATTTTAACTTCTAAAATTTCATTTCGTTGCATATTTTTCGGTGCGGAAAAAACTAAATAATAAAAATGTATTCTTTTCACTGATATAAATAATTAATAAATATTTATGGGAGTAGGAGCAAAGAATTGTTTTTTATTTTGAAAAGTGAGACAAGACAAAAAGTAATTGAAACTTATAGAAATATTATATTTATCAAAGAATTAAATCTGATAATTCATATTTTATAATAAAATCAAAAAAAATAAGTTGATTTTGCCTATCATTGATTCTTTCAAAAATAAAAGTTACACATTTTTTACTAAACATTTTCTATTGCAATTGATTATACCTGTGGATAATGCTCTAATTCCATTTCGAGGACTCTCATGGACGGTTTTGGTGTGGTCATTTCCTGACCTGTGCACATCTCATATAATAAATGTCCAAAGCAAATTATATCGACATTTTCAATTTCCGTTGTGGAGCGTGACCATATAACGGCATTTATGCGTGAACTTAAGCCCAGCAAACCATTCTCCAGCCCGGATAGCCTGTGATATAGAAAGAAAAGAAAAAAATTAAATTAAATTGCACAAATAAAGTTTTCTGACAGAAAATATAAAAGTTAAAAATAAATATAATAAATCTGTGGAAATTCAATAAATGCGAAAGTTGCATTGTGAACTTCGTTCATAAGTATGACCACGCTCTTCAGATATTAGGTGGAGTGGTGGCAGAGTGGTGGTAGCGATATTAACAATTTCCATTTTATAACGTCATATTTGTATGAATTGCAACATTTCCAGCACTACGCATCCTTTCACATTACCACTTTGTGCAGAGCTCCTGCATTTTTATCAGATTTTCCCATTCATTACTCCCGCTGCAGAGTGTACTTCAAGTGAAAACTACGAATCCTTTATGACATATTTCTGCCTACCTCGCATTAAGCCGCACAGGTCCGTGCATATTTTGTGTGTCTGTCTGCATTGATTACCGCGAATGCCTTTAAAAATTTAAGAGCGTTTAGCATTTTATATCCTCTGACTTAAGTTTGAATTTAACAGCACATTCTCTGCAGGAAGCGCGGCGCAGGAGCGCTATCAGACCTGTATCTAGTATCAGGTATATTTTTGCATTATTAATTAAAATTAAAAACATTTCATTTGCATTTAAAATTCGCACAAGTATCTCATACAAAAATTTGTTAAAGCATTCGCCTTCCGCTCGCACACCCCCACTCAATCTAACGGAATTGACCCAGTTTTGTTCCGCGCTAAGTTCACTTAAGCTGTTCACTGTATGAATTTTTCATAAAATTGAGCTCAACGTTTATTATAATAAGCTAAAGGATAAAGTGCAAAAATACACAAAAATATACATAGACTACAAAAAAAAATAAATAATAAAAAATAAATAAATAATGCAGAAAAGCAGCAAAAATAAATGAAATAAAGAAGAACTGCAACAAATCGTTTTCCATTGAATTTTTGTTTTTTTAAATCATTGCGATTCATGAATGCGAATCCAAAAATTTATTTATGCAATAAGTTGAAGATTTTTCTTTTTCCGATATATATTCTACTTTCACTTCAACTTGATCCTCCTTCTCCGTCTCCGTCTCCGTCTTCGCCTTCGCCTCCGCAACCATATCCGTATCTTCCTCCTACTCCCACTCCTTCTCTCTATCTTAAATAATTCTTCTTTTTTCCTCTGGTTTGATTATTATTTGGCTTAACTGACGTTATCGAACTGTGTAGAGTGTAGAGTGCACGAATGCGATTCGAAAGTGCAAGTTATTGTCTTCCCACCTGCACCTGTATTCCGAGTCTTTTCATTTGCGAGGAGTTAAATTTTGTTTGTTCACGTGCCCCGGAAATCAATTTAATCTGAAAATACTTGTTTGAAAAAGCTGAAAAGCTGAAATCTCTTAATGAATTTAAGCACCAATCCGTTAAAATGCATAAAAGCGCATTTATGTACATATTCCTGGAGCTATTTGACTTAAGCAAATGCAAATGTACAAATATGGTGCATCACAGTTGGCTATAGGTATGTCGTTTCCCCGTAGAAGAGTTTATTGAAAGGCAATTTCACTTACAATTTATAGTATTTAAAAATTTAAGTTCATATAATTTCAATTCTTCTTCGTATATAATCTTTCAAGGAAATCATTGCATGTGATTATTAATTTCAAGCAATATTAGAGATAAAAATGATAAAGATATAAGTACGTAGCATGAAGCACTTTGTGATTTATAACTACAATAGATCTTTCATAACAAAATCAAAGATAGTAAAGGAATGTAGAGAAGCAATCGACGATCTCAATGGGTTGACTAATATCACTCTCGTCTGGGTTCCTGGACATAGAAACATCGAAAGGAATGAGAAAGCTGATAGTTTAGGCCGCTGTGCTGCTTCCCTGGATGTGTCACTGGCGGTACCGGTTTATATTACCCTAGAGACCATTAAGAGAATTATTTTCCTCTACTTTCTGCAACTTGCCAATACCATATGGAAGGCACCTAAGTCATATGCAACTTTCAGGCTTACGTGGCCCACCTGTAATAAAAATAGATCCGCGGAACTCATCAAAAGAGACTGCATGAACACTACAAGGCTTACTGCAGTTCTTTCTGTTCACTAGTGTATAGGAACCTATGAAGAGAAACTGCGCATTCCCCATAATCCTCACTGTATAAGTTGTGGCAACCCACAGGAAAAAGAAACCATAATATATTTTCTCTGTGAATGCCTGGCTCTGGCGTCCAGAAGACGTAGGTTCTTAGAAAGTTACTTCTTTAACAGTTTATCAGATTGTTCATCGGTGAAAACAAAAGACTTATTAAATTATCTAAATTTAATCTCTACTCTTCTGTAATAGGGTTCTTGAGAGGAATGTGGTAGCAAAACGGCGGAAAATCGCTAATCTAATGCAACCAACCAACCATAGCGCTTGCTTATACAGTGGATACAGTTCAAAAGAATTAATCTGTTTACAAAATACAAAGAATAATTTCCGAAATACACAACATATCTTGAAAGTTTGATTATGGAACAAAAAATTAAAGATATCCTTAGGGAAGGATATCTACGAGCTTGAATAACACCTTAATTAAGTTTATTTATCATTAAAAACACCTTAACATTATTATCGGATTATAATTAAACTATTTACAAATAAACTGCGAACGAATTCATAAGATTCAAGTCACCCATTCTGTTCTACAGGTTGAAACCTGATATGTGTAAAGATACTGACTGATAATTTAATTGAAATTATAGAATAGCATAAATAGGTGCTACTTAATTTATCTATTTATTTACAGATAATCATTGCTTGTTAGCATTACTAAGGAAGTTTGTCAGAAGTTATTTATTAAACCATCACGATTTGCGTTCTGTTCTGAGGTGGGATGAGGAATCCTGATCGAATCAGAAATTATGAACTTCTTGACAAAGAAAGTTAAAATATTTATTAAATACACAGAATGTTTAGTGTTCGGATGAATGTTTTTAGGTATATTAATTCTATTTCTGTCGCAATATCTTTGCTTCTTCGCTTCTGTAGTTTATTCTTTCATTACACTTCTCTTCCAACTTCCGCAAATTATTATTAGAATGACTTACTTGGTATGCCTACAATTATATTTTCACATTAATTAAAATTATTTTTCTTAAATTTCTATTTGTCCTCTCAACTACATATATATGCTTTAAAATGTTTGTGTTAGTTGTCCTGATTTGAGAGACGGGAATATACAAAAATTTTAATTATAATTGCCTCCATGACTTTTTGAGGTTACAATATCCTCGAATTAAGTTGCTTCTTCATCCTTCTGCACACATATAGGCACAGAGAGAACTTAAATCATTATATTTTTTAATGGGAATATGAGTGTAAGTGTATTCATAATTTCAAGGATTACAATGTTCCGTGGTTTTCTGTGCATTATGCGAAGAAACTCAAATCAAAAAGTGGGAAGGCAAAGTAAAAATGGAAGGAAACTTTATGCAAAGGAACTCAAATTACTTTTCGACATACGAAAACTGCTAGAGAAGTTCATTTTTAATAGAAATGCTCTGGGAAAACTTTAATTTTTCGTAGCGTAACCTACTTTTTCGACAAAAAGAACTATGAGAGAATATTTTTTAAACTTTAGACCCAATAGAAATTTGCATATTTTATTAGACAGCCAACACGAAAAAAATATATAAAAAATGGGTAAAATATTTGGAAAGTAGAAATCAAATTTGGAAAGTTCTCTATTGCAAAGCTTAGCAACTTTGCATAAATCGAACACTTCATTTTTGGTTTTTTTTATGTGGCAGACTTTTAGGCGCACACGATACAAAATTGCAGTTTAAGCATTTAAATTTATTTTTGCTTGTACTTGAAAAGCATTATTATTTGTTTTTACAAAATGTATGAAATATATTATACAATATATGCTTGACTTTGGCATCCCTTAATGTAGGTATGTACTATATGTTTGTTCAGTTTTACTTACCGAGCTGCGCCATTTTGTAGAATAACATTTCCGCTATGCAAATGTCCATGCAAGGGAAACCCACGCTCTTTTAGAAACAGTAATGCTTCAAGTATTTGACGGCCTAAACGTTGTACTTGGCTCACTGGTAGGCCATTTGGCTTGCGTGTATATTTGCGCACCCAAGGTTCATTCCATTGCGCCTGTAAATAGAATTAGCAGCAAAATATATAAGAAAAAATTAGCAAAATATTTATATAAAAAAGTTGGAAAGGATATTATTAAATTCTAAATTGATGGCTTTCAACATTTTGGTATAAAACATATACCTTGGTTCTTATATGCAATTTGGTATCTGAAAGTAATTGCAACACTTGCTATCGCGCCTAATTTTAGGCAAAGTTGTATAATTAAAGGCTTTTTAATGTCAGGTCAAAATAGTGACATGCATGTACCCTAACAAATGAAGTAGGGAGTGAAGTCATGAAAACCGAAAGGCAAGAGAATATTGCAGTTGTTAAAGCTTCAGTTTTCGGTTTCATGGTTTCAATAAATTTTTTGAATAGACTTTTATTTTTTGACTAGCTTTTAAAAAGTTTAATTAGAAGTTGTTTTATTCATATTTTAATTATGGACTACATGGAAATATATCATATATAATTGGTTATTGGTATCTGAATATTATCGGAAGCTACTTTGTATTATACATTAAGACTAGTTTATTCGTTTTGCATTTATCTGAGATATCACTATAACTGCAAGCTTACAGAAGAGAAATGTATGACTGAACCGATATCTCAATCAGAGTTGCTTAGCAATACAAAGCCATTCTAGATGTAATTCTAGACAAAACTAAAGGCATTTAAAGGACCGTGATTATTTGATAGTGTATATATATATCTTATCTAGTACTGACATTTTAAAAGTAAAATTTTTAACAAATACAAATGCATTTTGAATTAATCACAGTAAAGTAATAGTTTCTATTTTTGATCATATTAAGTATCTAATAATTGCAACAGTGGATAAGTATTCCTTAATCCTTCTCTCATCATATTATGCCATAAATGTAGTTAAAATATATACTTAGTAATATTGAAAAAATTCAAATTAATTAGTTTGTAAGTGAAACTATTACGTGTTTGTCAATAATATTTATATTATCATCGTGCCTTGTATATTAAATCCTTCAGGCTACCACGTGAATTGAATGGTGTAACCAAACAAGCATAATTCATCGAACCCGAACGTAAGAACCCCAAATCCAGTACTGGATAGATGTATGGATGATGTAATGAGCCAAGTAATTCCATTAACATTCCCTTTGGACTCTCATTTGGTGGCAAATCTTCTAAGGCGACACAGTCTGGTGGTAGCGGTAATAAAGTCATTAGGCGATCGGTACGTACCTAGAAGAGAATCGAAGAAAAATTCGGAGTGAATACAAAAACCGGTCAAGTATTTATGGTACAAATTTAAGTTATTCACCACAATGGTCTGTATAGCTGTTTATAACTCACCGATGCATCATTTACTAAAAACCAATTCTTTGCATGTCGCGAACCAATCTCATCCAAATGAGCAATTACTTCATAGCGACCATTCGAATTCTGCACCCACTCCTGTGTGACCACGTTGAGAGCGCGCTCCCGATGCGCACGTTCACGCGGACTTCGTTCCACAACTCCATTGCCACTGTCTAATGCTGAATATTGATATTTGAGATTTGGTCTGAAATATTTCAGTTTTTCGATATTAGTTTATGAAACTACAATGTAACGATATACTTTTTAAGGAACAAACTAAACTAAACTAAATTGAAAAGAAATTGAATTTCGATAACTTATGTACAATAATAAATTTTATTAAATATACGACATACAGATATGTACAAATACATTAAGATATACATTTATATAAATGTATTATACAAAATATAATTTTTAAAGTATTGTATATATAAATTTTAATACAAAACATTTACATATAATTTCAATTAATTAACATATAATACCATATGTACTATGTATAACATGAACACCTAAGAACTGGGAAATTTAATTTTGCTGAACTATTTTCTATTATTATTAAAATAATTGCAGATTACTGTAATTTCTATAATTTCTATGTTGCATATATATGATATCATATATTATTGACGTATAAACTCTATTTATATTTAATGGTTTTTTCATGTAGTTTCACTTTTTGTTTGAGCTGCAAGAATTATTATATTTCTGAATTTTTATGAAATGTGAAATGAAAATATATGAAAAATTTCAACAGCACCAACTGTGTTTCGACTCAACTCATTTCGAAACATGTCATGAAGCAACGCCCTCTACTACAACCCAACCCAATCCAGTCTAATTTATCCCATCACATCCCAACTCATCTCATTTCATTTCAACTCAACGAGACCATGAAAACCTCATTGTCATCCTTGTTAATGCAGATTTTGACGTAAGCAGCTACGCTTTAACGCTTCTGCATCTTCACGCTTCAGGACTTGTGAATATTTTCAGTTTCGTATTTATATTTTTATTTTAAATAGAAAAAATTCTCATTTGAATTAATTTGAAACAATTTACTTAAGTGTCATTTTAATTATAATTTGCTTCTTAGATTCTTCTTCTTCTTCTCAGAATCCCAGATTGTCGGATTCACATTTTATTACTTTCATTATTCATATATTCATATATTCATTTTATCATTTATTCATATATGCAATTAGATAATGTCAACATCACTTAATTTAAAATAATTTTCCTTATCATATACCATAGTATTTTGGTCGCACATTTACATCCATGGGTAATGTCTGCTTTCATACAGTTTAACAATGAGCTAAATAAAAGTCAAAGATTTCTAAGAGTTTTGGAGATATTGAAATAAAACTCATAAAGAGTCAAAGCTACATATAAATTTTTCCGAGAAAATCAGAAATCAATTGGTGGACCTTATCAGTCTTTTATATGCTTGCGATCTTCCTGTGACCGAATACCTAGAACAGAGAAATGTTGATCTGTGTCGATAACTTATTCAAAAAAAAAAGTTTCTTAAGAAGTCATATCATATACAGTTGCTATTTGCTTCTTATATACTCGTCTCCGAATCTCAGATTCCCATTGCATAATATATTAATTTTAATTAATATTAATTATAATATTTAACTAATTTATTATTCATTTATTTTGTCAATTATTTATTTCATCAATCATTAATTTCATCAATAATTTATATCATTATTAGTTTATATTGCCATTAATTTATTTCGTCACTAATTCATGTCCACATTATTCATATATATAATTAGAGAATCCCGACACCACTTAATTTAGAATAATTTCTGTTAACATATATCATACCATATTCCAATAAGCTTGGAAAGTAATTCGTCTTTTCATTCCATTTGACGATTAATGAAAAAAATCGATATTTCCAAGTGTTTCAGAAATTTTGAAGTTAAATTCATATAGATTAGAATAGATTTAGAAAAATTTCTGAAAAAATGATTAGCTGTCTATATGTTAGATCAAGAGATATCATACCAAATGGTAAATTAATGTTATACATCAAAATATTTCATTATATTTTTGTCAATCCAAGAACATGACTTATAAGAGATAACCAAAAAAAAAAAAACGGAGAGAACCTATCTGAGGTAGTAATTGCAGTAAATAGATTGAAAAGCTACAAATCACTTGATACCGAATGGATTACATCAGATATGTTTGAATTCAATCTTCGAATGACAAAAAAATTGGTTTTACCTATCAGTTCTGAATACTTTTTCAGAAAAATTTTTTTAAAATAAAATGAGCATCTTTTCAAAAAACTGAGACCATTATCATTATTGAAGGGTCATAAAACTTCTAAAAACTTCTAATAAAACTCTTTGAGACGCATTGAAACCAATGTTGAGTATTCAGCAAATTAGATTTCGCTCAAGCTGTCAATGACCTCAATGAGTTTGAGCACTAATCACAATAATTTCATTTACTTCATGCAATGACTATAAATTCGAGTTTGAAGTGATCACTAACTAGGCTTTCTCGATTGAAAAGTAAGCATTATTCTTATTGCATGAAAAACAATGACTGAGGTTAGTTGCATCTGAAAGAGGTATGCAATTGAGTATATTTTGTTTCCATAAATATTAAAAAGACTTTTAATTCAAACCGATTATTAGTCATTTTGTTTGAACAAACAAGGTAAAATGGATTGACATCAACTGCCGATGTAAGTAGAAATGCTTAGACGGACTCGAAGATAAACTTTACGGTGGTTTTTATAGCGGTTGAAATACCCCACTGTCTAGGCTTCCGAGCTTTTTTCCCAATCAAAAAACAAAAAAAACAAATATATATATGCTCCTCGGGGAGGTATGCAGATCTGAAGTCAATTATTGCTTAGTCTGATGAAGTGATAAACAATAATCAAGTTAAGGCGTAGAGAGGGATTTTGAAGAAGCCTCGCAGTTAATATGTTACCATAGAGAGTAAAAGTGCTCAACTGCACTGACTCAACTAGTTTCAACACAATATATACCATAGATGTACATCAGATTATTAGATTACATAACTGTTAAGTGGATAAGACTGTTTAAAAAAGATTTATTGCATTTTAAACACCTTAAGAACACCTTTTGACACATCTGCCCGTTTGAGGTGGAAGGCATTTATCATGAATTACTGAAATGCAAATGACTTGGAGGAAAAAATCGACAAATGGTGCATGGTGAAAAAAATTATCCCAGAGTGGCAAATGCACATTTGTGAAGGTAGCGATAAATGACGGGAAATACAGGAAGCAATGGTGAGAAGATTGATTCACTTCGCTCACGGAACTCGCAAGAAGAGTTCAGCAAGCAGTTTAATCGAGCAAGAGAGTGAGAAATTTCGCTGTCTCATGAAAAGAAACTGATGAACAAACCAACTGATGCTAGAGCCTTATGCTCATATCGTCCTCCTGACCTCACCATTTCATTCATATAAGATGATGGGAGTTGTTAGAGGTTTAACTTGCCCTCTGAGATAGGCTTTTGATGGTTTTCTCCCAATTTGAACACATACTTTACTACTCTTCGTAGATTTGTAACGGGTTGCATTTACAAACTTAACTCAGCGGAAACGGAAGAAGATTCAATTTCATTTGTTGTTTTCAGCTATATTTTTTCTTTACGTTTTAATAAATTTTGTTGAATCTTTCAAGAAAAGAGAGAAATGAAAAAGTCAAAGAACACATATAGTAATAAATAAAATATCATAAAAATTGTTTAAGTAAAGATATGATAAAAAGTTATAAGTACTAAGTGGAAGCAAAAAAGATGTCGAAGCATAATTATAAGTAAATAAAAGTGCAGAAAGAACACTTTCCTATTCACAAATAGAGCAATTAAAATTACCAAAAAATAGTAAAAATTGAGAATGAAAAAATAAAGTAAAATAAGTGAAATAATTAAGAGTTGAGGATATAATATTTAAAAAAAAATTTAAGCAATTTTTTAAAAAGTTTTTGCAAAGGATAGTCGTCCAGAACCACTTGTTGTGCATGCGCCCTAGAAAGGACACGCATTTACTGAAAACCTTGTGTTTTATTTGGTGTCTGTAGCTGCGGTCCTAGTAGCTTTAAGTCCTGCGTTGGCTGCTTTCGTTTTAATTTCAGTTGCAAGAAAGTATTTTGCTAAACAAATTAGATTTGCTTAAATTGCAACAACGACTGAAGGAACCAACAGCAATAAAAATAATAATCTTAAAATGTACAAGTGTGTCCTGCAGCATTTGGTGATATTTTTCTTCAGATACATTGTTATCCTTTGTGGTTGTTCTTCTATTTTTGGCTTCTATTTTTGACTTGTGCGTGCTTGAGCTGCAATTTTGCGGTGAAAGCTAGCCAAGAACGGCAGAACAGCGAAGAAGAATCACTAGAATAGTTGCTGATGTGGCTGCTTTGGTTTTGTGACGACTTGATGTCCTTGATGTTCTTGTGCATTTGATGCTTTTATATATCTTTCGAAAGGATTTCGTTGTGAGCCGAGTATCTATGCAAGTGTTTGTATGTTAGGTGCCATTTTAAATTTTAAATGTGCTGTGTGCGTTAAGGGCAAAAATAATGCCGCCACTGCAATTGCATTGTGATGTGCTGCATTGCAGCACTAAAGTTCATGCTGTTGCTGCCAAAGATATGGTCTGCAATTTTTCTGCTCACTGTCACTGTCGCTATAACAGATCAGTGTTATTGCAGTTGCAGTTGCAGTTGTAGTTGCCATTGCTTTTAATGCACACATTGCAATTGTTGACAATTCACAGCCTCACACATGTGAGCCCAATAAGGCGGGTACACGTATAGGTCACACATCTAATAAAAGCCCATTTATACGTTTTTGTAAGTGCAGGACTTGGACAATGGGTGTGTGTAAGTGAGAATATGCGAAGGTATGTGTTGGTATATAGATTTTTTGTGTGCGAGGTGTTATGGTGTCGGCGGCAAGACAGCTTGGCAAATAAAAACCATACAAATAAACTTTAAAGCAAAAGTTTTGTGTTGAGAAACAAATTTGAATTATTTATTTGGTTGAAGAGCCTTGAACTATGCTACGAAAAGTTTTCAAAAAAGGATATTATGTCAAGAAGTAGAAAAAAACTGTATGAAGTGAAGAGTAAACGTCCACTCTATGCTGCGTTTTGAGCTTTTTATATAATGAAATATTGCAAAAAAGATGAAAACCCAGAAAAGCAAAAAATATTAAGAAAAACATGAAAATAATTTGAAAAGCATTTCGGCTGAGCTTTGATGGACTTTTTGCAAAAATTTATTTACCAAGCACTTGCTTTTCATAGAGTTTTCCTTTCAGTTTTTTCTTTAGCAAGATTTTTATTAATTAGTGCGCTCTTGTGCTTCTGTATTTTTCGACTTTCAGCCAAAATTCACTACTCGAAATTTTTGAAATTTTTGAAGTTTTTCAACCTTTCAGTGCAATTGCAGAATATAAAAAAAAATTTCATACAAATTGCCAATAGTTTTTCTGCTTGATTTCTTGCACATACTTTTCTGGTACATATCAGGCATTATCTAGTGCAGTTTGCTGCAGTCATGCATTTTTCTTTTTTTTTTTGTTTGTTTTGTAACCATACTCATACCATCACAAATATATATAAATTCAATAACATTGCTACCTCTCTTTTTGCGAAAATAAAAATTCTATAGATTTTCGACAATTCTTACCAATCTGCCACAATCCTTCCTACCATTAAACTAGTTTATGAGTTTCTGATGAATTTTTAAAAATTTTCTGTATGGCTTCGATTGCAGTACTCTTCCCTATCGTACTTAAAAAAGGTAAAGTTAAGGCACATATAAGCACTCATGTATTAATAATATTATTTAATCCCATAAATGAATTTTTAATAGAATTCTTTATATTCACTTTAAAATTTTTTTTCTTAATTTTAAAGTTTTACAAATAAACTTTCTTTAACGTACTGGGTTTCTTTATATACTAATTGTAAGCATTGAAATTTAGCATTTCGTATTCCGTTATAGTTCTATTTATATATATAAATAACTAATCGATATTTATATATCGATTAAAAAATATAATAGTGCAATGTTAATATACCTCAAAGAACCATCCGAATAATGTTCTGTTGCAGACAGTTGGGCAGTTGGGATTTCACAATAGCATAGAATATAATTGAACGGGAACCCAACTTGAAGGGATAATAGAATAACATAGATCGAACTTATGTTCATATCAATGAATAATATTTAATAGTTAAATAATATAATTATATTATTGGAAAGGTAAAATTAAATGCATACTTAAATTGCAAATGAACCATACAATGAAGGGCTTCAGTAATCTGGTTAAAATATTAATTTTAATGACTTCACTTTACAATTACTAAGTTTGAATAATAAAATAGACAAAAGCTTATATATGTTAACACTCAGAAGAATGTTATACTTCGTGTTATACCCAGATCTTGAGAATTTTTTATAACCTTGTCAGTGATGCAGAAAATATGGATGGGAAAGTTGTGATTGTGAGACGCCCCTTACCAATTGCATCTAAAAAATAGTAAACATAGTTTGGTTGAACTTCAGGAGACAATACGGAGAATCCGAGACGAGCATCACGATTTTAATGCTAAAATTGCTGCATTATAAAAAGCGAGCCTGTCTTACTCTCCTTCTTATGTCTATTTAATTTGCTCTGGAATCAGTTCCCTCTGAACGAATTATATTAAAAATTTCGTAACCGTTTGAACTATAGACGCTAAGCAGATGGCGAGCTCTTTTTTTTAATTCAGTTTCTCACGCAAGTTTAGTTGAATCAGTAAGTTTCTTTCGTAGCTTCGACCTTCGCAACTTTCTGCTGAACTACTCCAGAAAATTAATCATAAATCCCTTCAGTACTTAGTCCAGTACCCTCAGGATGCAGTTCAGTTTTTCCACACAATTCCACTCTTCAGTTATGGATGTGAGAACATTCATCACAGAGCATATTCACAAGCAATGTCGTTCCATTTTTTTTTGACTTATACTGTCTTTTCTATATACAAGCGTGTAATACGGCTGTAGTTTAAATCACAATATCTTTATCAATCACTGAAATGGAATTTTCAGCATTTGTAGAAATCTATATTCATATCAATCGATGTTTTCTGCTCAATTTTCCTTTATTTTTGATACATATTTAAGGAAACATAAAAGTCCGTTCTTGTTCTGTGGTTAGAAATAAACTCAATTTCAATTTCCACACTAAGAGAGAGAAAGAGATAGATAGAATAGAAGAGATTGTAGACATACATATAAATTTTTGCTTAAAAGCTTATTTTTTTGAGATTTTTTTAAAATTGCTGTCGGACTAAAATTTCATCATATTAAACTTTATATTTGAAGCAGTGCTTAGAATATAACTTCAAACCCACAAAAATTGTGTTCTATTCAAAATAAATTCTTTTAACTGTAAATCAGGAAGAAGAGAAGGAGGTGGATTTTTTATAAAAGCTAAAACTTTCCTGCACAGCAACAATAATCTCATGACACAATAAAAATTCGATTAATCGTTGGCTATGTCTTTCTTAGGTATTCAGAGTTCAAAATCTTGAACTGATTAAAGTCAGCTTGTGCATATCCAGCCTTTGCTTCATCGTTTCTTTATATCAGCATCCCAAATCTTACCTTTTATATTTAACTCTTTAACTCTTAATATGTTAAGCTGGATAACATCTTGCAATGACTCATGATGGAGTTTAGCACCAGAATTAAAAGTTTAAATCTACACCACGTTCTATGTTTGTTGTAATCAAATGTCATAAAAATGTAAAAATTTGAATTAGTATTAAATTTTGAAACTTTTAGTTAACCACTTATCTATTTAACCCTTCATTCCAATTAAAGTTGGTCTGGGAGTGTTTTCAACTTCTCAAAACCCTAGCATCGAGAAACTATGTGGGTATCGGGACATGAAGGGCAAGAGGGCAATGAAATAGCAGACTCCCTATCAAAGAAGGGTGCATATATACCTTTCATTAGTCCAGAGCTCTTCTGCGGGGTGACAAATAGTTTTAGAAATAACTTATTATGTGAACGGGAGAACAAAATCTACTTGAACACTGGAGAGCCCAACAAGACATGCGGCAGTCAAGAAGTTTCATTGAACCTGAACACATCAAAGTTAATGCTATCCTTGGCCTTAGCAGAAACGATATTAAAATCTACACTGAACTTTTTAAAGGACACTGTAGACTTAATTGCCACATGAAGATTATAGGTGCGGTAGAAAGTGATTCCTGTCGACTCTGTAATGAAGAGGACAAAAACAGCAGTACATATCCTATGCAACTGCCCAGCGGCGGCAAGATGTAGGCTCGACTACCTTGGAAGCGGGAACTTAGTGCTAAATCAAATAGGTAAAATTAGGCCCACAGCAATTATGAGTTTAATAAATAGTGTAGATTTGAATCGCCTTTAGGCGCACGATAGATCTTTTAGGTCGGGCTGTATTCATAGCTTATTATTTAATGATAATAATAAACTAGTTAACCATTAACCATTTAAAGGAAAAAAAGAACATACCTGCGTTTAATTTTTCCTGTTATATACCTGTGAAAAGCATTCGTGAGTGTAAGTTTTCCCTCGAACAGATTAGTACAGATTTATTTTGTTTTCAATTAAATTAAATTAAATTAAATTTTAAATGTATTTTGGTTATACCATAACCAAATGAATTTAAGATTTTGAAATACTTTGATATCACACATTACCTAAATTATTTTGGCAATTTTTAGTTATATCTGAATATATGAATATCTTACGTTTTATGCAAAACATATATATAGAAATGAATAGAGGTCATTTAATGTGAAGTGCACTTAAGTATATTATGTGTTCATATTTGCATATTTACAGAAATACATAAATTTAATTTGAAATCCAAATAAAATGTAAAAAGCTTTAGATTGAATTAACAACATCGAAAGCGGAGATAAAAAATCTTTAAACATGCATGCAAAAGTGCCTGCAAACGGAACTAACTCGACTACACATTCAAGATTTTAATATAAAAATAATGATAAATTTGTATAAATACATAAATTGTTAGAGTTTCACACATAAGAAATAAAATATTTAATTTCATACTTAAACGATTTTCATGAGATGAGAAAACATGAGGAAAACACAAACCGATGTGAACTCAGTAAAATTAAATAAAATTTAAGTTTTGTTAGCAATCTTACAAATTTAAAAATTTAAAATTAAAAAAAAAAAAATAAACAATAAAAATATCAAAATGAATGCATGTAGAGAAAAAGATAGTAGAAGAAAGAAAGAAAAAATTAAATTAAAAATTAAAAATTAAAAAAAATAAAAAATAAAAAGACAAAAATGAAGAAAATAATAATAGAATGCAACCTTGTTGTTAGCACTGATTCTATGGTATCTCTACTTCCGGTTTCCGCTGGCATCGATTTGCTAAAAAATAGCCTAGCTAGATTGTCTAACCTCGCGCTAACCAGCGGTGATTTCTCCGAGTGCTCGGAATGATCTGAATTATCTTGTTCCGAACTGGCCGAACGATTGCTGTAAGACACAAACAAAGTTTTATAAAATAAAATAAAAAATGAAATCAAAATATAAAAAGCAAAATTGCTCTTACATTTTTTATGCATATAGATATACGTATATATATATATATATATATATATTTATATATAGATATACATATATATATCTATGTATATATTTCATTGTTTCACATTTAAAGTAATAATTAGTAAATAATTATCTCTTAAAAACTCTTCATAAGTTAGTTAGCGAGTTTGTTTTTGACTCTCTACTTACCGACTGTAAATCTGGCGACGATTCGCTGCAGTTAAGGCAGAAACATCGAATTCAATGGCCGAGTTGGAGCGTTTGAGTCCATTTTGCTTGTATAGTTTTTTCATGATGTGCTTTGCTTTTCTTTTGGTGGTTAAGTGCGTTAGAGTAAGCCAACATGTGAGTAGGGTTTGTGTTGGAAATCGTTGTAGGAGTTTGTGTGAGTTGAAGTGAGAGAGTGTAGTATGGAGTTAAAGTGGGTTAGGTTGTGTTAAAATGTCACAAATTGCGGAAGTTAAGTAAAATGAATAACAGAACAGAATAGACATTAACATTTTGGAAGAGATGAAGTAGATTTCAAACGAAAACTTGAAGAGTTTTCATTTAAAGTCAAATACTACCGTAGAAAAAATAAATTGTACAACTAAACAATTAGTGTGGAAAACAAGGGTTGTACTTTGTACTTTGATTTCCTTATTCTAGTTTAAGTTTATTTTAATTTTATTAGGAGATTTGCACTAGATCTGCACTATGACCAGACTTAGAGTATTTCTCACAATCTAATTTCCTCCATTAATTATAGAGGTCGACAAGCGATGCCTACATAGATACTTCTTTCGCTTATGAATCAATGCCGGGCGAATTCCGAGCATATGTTTTGGGGTCTCATTCTCTTGCTTACAAAGTTACTAAAAGTTCCATCAGAGTTCCCAGTTTTGTAATGGGTTAGTTCAACCTACAGTGCCCTGTCAGACATTCTGTGATGGTTTTTAAATTGTTTTTATTTAGCTATGTACAGTACTTAAATTCCTTTATGTCATTTGTTCCTATATGCAAATTCGATTGTAATAGCTCGGCTAGAATACGGCAGTATAGCTTTCTGAGTTTCAGTGAGGCTGCCTCTTTCCTGACAAATTTATCAGTAATTTTATTGCCGAAAATTCTAGTGTGAACCGGAATTCATATGATCCGTGCCAGAGTATTCTGCTCAAGTCAAACCTCATCCTTTAAATTCATATTTATTTGAGGAAGTATTTGAAGTGATATAGCCGCAAAGCAGTTTCCATTTCAAATTAACATTTTAGATAGCTAAAATTCTAAAGGTCTACCAGATTTCTTCAATTAAACTGCAAATATCTTCAGATCTTTCAGTCCACTTGTCAATTGGCTTTTAAGTCTGTAGGTCTGTTACCATTATAAACATATAAAGTCTACGTATGCTAATTTCATTACTAATTGGAAGTAGAAGTAGATAAATTGAAGTAAAAGCGCTGCACAATAAATTTTGTGGAGGATCCTCAGAAATTTTTGCTACATGACAGATTATCAAATACTACTGAATTTATTTTCATAGAGCATACAATATTAATGCCTTCAAATTCTTTGAGTTTGGTAAGTGAAGAAGACAATATTATTTCATTAAAAGTTCTGGGATTTTAATGGTGTTAAGTAATTTCATGAATGGGAATGTCAATATTATTTTTGATAAAAAATTCCTTAAATACAACCAATACTTAAATAATTGGTTAGGTTAGGTTAGGTTATACCGGTGATCCCTAGTGGATCCACTTAGGCCTATTGGCCCATTGTGATGCCGTATTAAATAATTGGTGATCCTATTAATTTATTTATGTATAAACGAATTAAATTTTGGATACATTAAAAAAATTGCATTTAAAAGTATTACCACACCATTTCATCAACCAAAATATATTATTATACGAAGAATTCAAAGAATACACTAACTATACAAAAAAAAATTTGCAACTTCAAGGCCCCACATCTCAGCTATTTATCTTTGTTGACATATAATAGACGTATAGGCATATAGCCTAAAGTTTCTTAAAATAGCAGATTTTAGCAAATTCCATTATCAAATCATGATACACAGGTAACTGTCTAGAAAGGATTCCTGAAACTACATATTTTACAAGATATTATATATCTTAAACTAGAACTTGACTAATCACCAAATCAACAAAAAACAGTTTAAGCCGTTTTTTAAAGAAATTAGCTGATTTTTTAAGTCACGCTCTTATATACTGTATTATAACTTAAAGTCAAAACCTGAAGTTATGCAAAGACATTAGTCCTATGTGCCGACTAAAAGCGATAGTTTTTATAATTTCTTTAGTATGGTTTTAAATAATCAACTCCATAACTCTATAACGAATTGCTTTTGTTGGACAATGGAGTATTATTTTAACTAATCGGACTAATTGGTCCGGTATTCTAATTGACAGCTGAGTTTTAAAAGTTCCATTAGTATAATGATATCGACTCTATGACAAGGATTTAATAACATGATTACCAGAAGAATTTTTTATAGTCAAATAAAAAATTTTTTTATACTTCAATAGGATTAGGTCTATTTCTTTCATATTTACCTTTGGTTCCACTCCATTTATATTTACCATTGTTTTTAAATGCTAACACCTATATCGTTTACATAAAATGGGTCCTATAAGAAAACTATTTTTTCCACAGTAGTATTTTCCAAATGAATCTTTCTTATTAAAGTACACATTTCAACTTACTTGTCCGAGACTGGTGGTTTGACAAATTGATCATGACCAGTGCACGCATTGGCACGATCCTGTGCACGATTCTGTGCGGCGGCCTTACTAAACTTAAACATGGTGAAGGATTTCTTAACGCTGGCAACCTCGCAGACACGTACAATTATTTTGCGGCTACTCTTGAAAACCGTATTTAGGGTTTTGTAAACCAATATCGACACGGATTTTGAGGTGTGCGGATGATGTGCGTTATTAGCGTTGCCAGCTGGTGGATGCAGTGTTGTTGGCAACGACTGCTGTTGCTTTAACTGATGCGCCGAATGTTGATGTTGCAGCTCCTGTATAACTTTCGATGATTGTGATCTTGTGATAACTTTTTGATTTTGTTGTTTATAATGTGTTGTTGATAGTAGTGATTGCGATTGTTCCTGTTGTTCCTGTTGTAGTTGCTGTTGTGGTTGTGGTTGTTGTTGCAATTGTTGTGATTGCGTTTCCTTTGATAACTGCAACTGTAATTTTGACTGTTGCTGTTGCTGCTGCTGTTGCTGATGTTGATGTGTAGACTGTTGCTGTGATTGACGACAACTGATGATGACTTCGTCAGAGCACACCGGATGTGGTGGCGGTACTTCACTTGTGATATCCTTGTGGTTGCAGCAGTTGTTGTTATTGTAATCATTTACAAGACGTTCAATTACAACAAATTCGTTTTTCAACATTGTTAAAAAAGTGTTGTTGTTGGGAATTTTGTTTCAGTTGTTTCGTTTTTTTTTGCAGTGTTGTGTGTGTTTTGTTGTGATTTTTTTCAGTTGGAAAAAGAAACAGAAAAAGAAGAACATTTTTAAATGTACGCAAAAATATTTTACATTATAAAACTAAAAAAAAATCACAGTAAAAAGCAGAATTTTGTTTTTGTAATTGCTTGCTTCTCTTTTTGTTTATTAATTTTTTTTGTTGCATTTATTTATTGTTTTTCACATAAAAAGAAAAATCATACAAGAAAATTGCGCACTTGCAGCCGTTAAAATTGTTGCACTAAAGCCACTGAGCATGAGGAGATTTGTGGTGGAAGGGGGTGCATGTGTAACATTAATAACTTCCTTTTTGAGTTTCAAATGAGATATGTTGTGGGTTACTCTGGTCATGAAGTGGAGGTGAGTGGTGGGGAGGGGGTAAGTGATACTAACAGTGACTGTGATTCTAACAGTGATTGTGGGTGTTGTGTTATTGTGATTATATTGAAAATTCTATTTTATATGTTATTCTTTTGTGCTTCGCTTTTAGCTTTTTTAACTGTTAAATTACTGCTTTGACCTTTCATCAGTAAGCAAAAATCTCGAAAAGTCAAAGTGATTGAACTTTAACCCAGTATGGGTTTTTGCAGAGTAAAAAGAGTCGTTTTTTATGAAACTTAATCGCAAGTCATTGTACTTTATGCACTTTACGCTCTAAATTCGCCGTTAAACGATTTTTTCTGTGTTCTTTGTGCTTTGCTTTGATGTGGCAACACAGAAAAGTGTTGCGAGTGGTGCTTTTTTTTTTTTAAATGAAGTATTAAATTGCGTTGGTTTTTCACATTTGACTGTTGTTGTTTTTAAATGTTTTAGTTTTTATATGTAACGATAACGATGGTTATAAATGTTATGTTTGCTTAAAGTTATTATATTAAATTTGTTTAATTTTTGGTACAAATTTTGCTTGCATTCAAATTAAAACATTTGGAAATTTGCCATCACAAAAGCATTTTAAATATTTACGCATTTCCTCAAACAGAAAAAAATGATGTTATTAAATAAAAGTCATAAAAAATAAATTGTTTATTAATTAAATTATAATTTAATTAATTTTGCAATTAAAATCAAATGGAACATGCTTCGATTATTGCTTATGATTCAAAATACTTTGCACGCTTGCTCATTTAGGAATACAAAATGTAAATTGCAGCCAATACAGAAAATTCCATTAACTCATTAATTAAAAAATTAACAAAAATAAATGTAACTATAATTTTAAAGAAAAAATTTAAATAATCAAAATGGGAAATTAATGTTTTAATAATTATATCGAACGATAAATGGACTTAAAATGATTTTGCGCTTTGCTATTTGATGAATTTAATGCCAATTACCTTAAAATTATTTTAAAATATGAATTTATTAAGTTTAATTATTGAATTTATTGAAAAGTGATTAATTGCGAAAATGCTTGATTGATTGATTAGTTGTTTGACAGATTGATAGACTGATTGGCTTAAAGTTTGATTGACATATTGCTTATCAATATAAGGTTGCTTAGTGATAACGAGTTTTTGCAACACATCAACATATATATAATGACTTAAGCTTGGTTTCAATACCTACCGAGCGTCGGAATAATACTTGTAAGACTCCAATACATGACACCTAAATCAGCAGTACACTAAAGTTTTTTAGTAGTTTTTTTTTATATGAATATTTTATATAGAATATTTTGAGAATATTTTACATTTATATTTATAATTATTTTTCACTTTTTAAATAGCCGAAGCATATATTTTGGGCTGATTTCCATTTCTTTATGTTAGTAAGCATTTTTGCATTATTTTTATATTTAAATGTTTCAGTATATAAACATATTATCTGCAATATTTATTATTAATATTTCAATTAAATATTATAAATAAATTTTAACTTTAAACAATAATAACACACATATTTTTTATATTCTATTCCCGTAAGATACATTATTGAAACTGTTTCAAAACAGGGATGTTCAGACGCAGGCGTAGTGCAAACGTAAAATAAAAAATCGACAAGTTCAGTACTAGTGTTGATAGCATCAACACTATATCAGTTAGCTTTTAGAATCAAGTATATATGGTGGGTTTATAAGAGAAGAGGCAAGGTACTTTACGACTCCACAACCTGATTGACAGTATTCCATTTTTAAGTCGCAGGAAAAAGAGTTTACTTGATGTTAGTAACATAATCATGGAACTTATATATTATCCTGATTTTTACTTTGTGATTATATGATGATTTAACCACCACGTATAAAATAATAATGTATTGAAAATTTAGATTTCCTTAATATATTGTTTTAGCTTAAATTAAAATGTAACTTCTTAAAACAATAGTTTGATGTGTCTTCAATTACTTCATAACTATGCTGAGCAATGAGTTCACTAAATTAAAATATGAAAAAGCGATATTTGTATTTTACTTAAACTGTTATTGTTCATTAACATCAAAATGATATAATAGCACTGACAGTTTTCGAGACAAGAGTTCTTTGGAAGATCTTTGCTCTTCCAGGAGTTGGCGACAATGACCACATCCGAATGCACCACAAGCTGTACGCTTTTTAACACGTTATTGATACAATTCAGCAAATTAAAAATCAGTGCTTTTGCTTGCTTGGTCATGTCGTGAGTATGGATGGTTAAGTTCCGGCGAATAATGTATTTGAAGCGGTAGTTTTTGAAAGAAGGTATAGAGGTGGACAGTGTCTCTAGTGGAGTGATCAAATTGAGGGACCAGCAACGGACTTGATATACGAGATCCGAGAAGGTGCACAGACAGCAGAGAAGCCTGAAGAGGAGTGCTGCGTGAGGCTAAAACATGGTAATGTGGTGTTATGGCCGTTTAAGTAAGTAAAGTAGTAAGTAAGTGCCACTATTTCTATTTTTATCTTTTAATATCTTCGATGATAGTATACAGCATAAATTTTAAAGGATATAGTATTTCAAAATATTTCCGGTAGACATAGAAGACATATACATGGTGAGTTACATTTATGTATCTCGGTGATCATTACATAGTCAAAAGGCCTTTAACTTTTTTAAATGATCTAGCATCTTTTAAAATAGGTTAAGTAAGTTGCACTTGTAATGTAAGAACGTGATGAATACAGGTGGAGTGTATATTGTGGAAAATGGGTTACTTAATTGTTTTGAAATTTACTGCAATGACGGAGACGGTACAGAGTATATCAATCATTGATCTAATTTGATTAGTGTTATCAGATGCATCGATTTATGAAAGTCCATCCGTTTGTGTATCAATAAGTCAATAAGGTAGGTTAATAATCTTTGAGGTACTCCAGAAAGTAGGGTCTTGAAATAACTTCAGCGTAGACAAGCCCATACGTGGAGTGTCCAACGAAAATAAGAAAAGTCCTGAGTTCAATACCATTTTAACCTTGCAATACAGACAGACGCAAATTTTTTCATTAAAATCTAATTTATTTTTCGCATGTCACTTAAAATTCATATGCAATCTCATGTAAGGTGCATAAATTAAAAAACAAAAACAAAACTATCGAACAAATTGATTTCTGTGAACAAAAAAATTGACAACCAACACATAGTGAAAAGAAAAAAGAGAAAAGATTAAAATAAAAGAAGAAAATTGGTAGGAAAAATTTTGTAAATTGAATTGCATAAATTGAAAATGAAAATTTTTGCCCGAAGTTATTGCAAACAAGCATGCATGAAAGTAAATGTGTCACACATACACACATACACATTTAGGCCATATACACTTGAATGCAAGCAAGCACACACACAGATGCCCACACGCACTAAGGTACTTATAGGCAACCGCAAGGCATGCCGTTCTGATCCATAATTCGATACGTTTACGTTTACAAATACAGGTAAAGTGCGCGACGTATACGTGACATGTGTTCATATTCAATTTGCTCTTATTATTTTCGTTCGTTCCATTTTTTTCTACGTTGTCTTTTTGTTTTGTGTCACTGACATTTCGTATGTTTGCAAATGGCTCTTGCAAACGAACCAGAATATGTGCACACTTTTTGCCGTTCTTATTGTTGTTAGTGTTTTTATTGTTGCTGTGCTATTTCAGTGTAGATTTGTTGTTGGTCTAAGCTTAGGAATGCGAATTGCCCTCTTCTTCTTCTCCTGTCTTTCTTCTGTTGAATATGAACACGTCGATTTGTTTAGCATCTATATTTTTGTAAGTCGTTGTTGTGTGTTGTTATTGCTATTTTTTGCATTATTTTTTGTTATAATTTTTAACAAACTTACTTAAGCTTGTATAAATCGACCAATCCAAATATCTTTTCTTGTCCATTTGCCCATTTGTCCATTTGTAGAAAAGGTGTAAATGTGTGTTATTGTGATTGTCATTGTTATTGGTTCAGCTGTGTTGTTGTTGCTACTGATTTATTGATTTTGACATACCTTTTCAGTTTGATTGTCGTTATCAATTCCATATTTGTTGTTGTTAGTGTTGTGTTGGTGTTGGTGTTTCGGCGGCCTCATTTAATAAGCATCAATTACATTTTGAGAATCTTGTCATATTTGCTTTTGCTTGTATGTTTTTGTTAGAATTTTTACGAGTGCATACAAAATGGTTTAGCGTATTACAGTCATTACATGAGTTTTCTTTTATGTGGAAGTGTGTTAGTGTGCTAGTGTGTTACTATGAATGTTGCTGTGTGCGCTTGCATGTCAATGAAGTCTTACAAATGTTGATTTGTTAGGGTTTAGTGGAAAAGTCAAGATCTGCTGTGTCGCTGTCACAATACTTATTCACTCAATGCTTTAAATTTAGATGTCAATTTGCAGTGTCAAAGATTTTGTCTTCGTCAGCTTATTGGGAATAAATTGAATTTAAATTCCTTCACCTCTGCTCACGTC